CGTGAGTGAGAACTGATGAAATTCGAATGAAAATGAGATCTATTAAATACACATTTGAAAAGTAATCAAATTCGTGTTATCTCTAAATAAAATCCGAGCCAAGTCAAACCGTGGAGTGAGAAAATTTCAACGATGAACGTGATAATCAATTCTTCGAATCATTTCCATGTGCCTGCTGATGAACACACCCTCGGATTTTGCCATGCGTTCACATCAAACTTATGGAAATCACTTGTCTCTGACTTCCTTGCACGCATTACAAAGAAACGTATGTAACAAAACATCGTTCCTTGGTTGTGGAAACGAAATGACAAAGATGGCATAAAATGAGTTTGATCCAGGACAAGATGAAAGATGGTGCACATCAAAACAATTTTCATGCATTGGTGTTTGCTTGATAAGTTGTGGGGATGAATTCAGTGCACAGCTATCAGCAAATATTGCAACTTGCTGATTAAATCGAGATCAAAAACTTTCATGAAGATATTTAAGATCTACAAATGAGCACTGGNGGGGTGCTAGAGGTGCAATGGAGGGGATCGGGAAATTAGTTCTGACCTTGTGCGTGTAAATAGTAAATTACTGTAGCGGTAGGAGGATAGTGACGACCTGTCCGACCATCGAAGGAGATAATGGAGCATCCGAGCGTCGGAACCATTGCTGTATATCTTCAGCGTCTTCAACATAATTACCGATATTTCACATTACAAGCTTCATCATTTCCTGTCACTTCATAAAATTCCTCATTCGTTTCATATTTTCTAATCAGAGGGTTCATTTCGTCTTCTCAGTTAGATGACTATAGATCGGAACAACGAATAGCTCATAAGCAAGGAGTATCATTGCATAACATTCACAGGTGAATGGCAATTGCTTCTCGAATGCCACTCAACCATCTGCATGTCACAAACTCCGTGAACTAAACTCGCCGCTAGAATTCGAATTAAAATCGCTGTAAAACTGTAAATCAAATTAACTGCAAAAATTCCAAATAAAACTCTCCACAAAATCCCATTTCACAACGATCATCAAACACTCACACGCAATTCACAATAACTTCCTTGTCGTTGGCACATTATGATATATAAATAATAAATAATACATAATATAATATAGATATATAAATAATAAATAAATAGTACATAATATAATATAGATATATAAATAATAAATATTACATAATATAATATAGATATATAATATAACACATATAAATAATATAATATGAAATATAAATATTAATATAAATAGTTTATGTATAAATATTAATATAAATAGTTCGATGGGCAGTCAACACTAGCAAATAGTTTATGTAGTTGGCTATTCCTGTCATCAGTATGTCAGTTGAACGCTTGGGTTTTGTTCTGTTCGTTCTGTTCTAGTGGATATTTTCGGTGGAATATCGAATTTGAGGATTACGACTCGTGTCTTTACGACTCGCATGTGCTCTTCTCCACATAAGTTTTGTGTCATGTTTAGTTTTGTTTTAAGACGGAAAACCAGTAGGAGGTCATGTATCAATATTGCATGACTTTTACATGGAATTCCCTTTGGCACTTGGAGGGACATGAAATGTTTTTTATTGGAACGGTCCATATGTACGAACCCATTGCCGTGATGCAATGTCCATCACCGAGTCAACACTTGTCCAGTGTGGTAGTTGGTGTCACCACTTTTGTTCCGTGGTGGCGGCATATTATTTCGCTCTATTTAGTGCGTAATTTTTTGTTGTGTAACAGTTTTCCTCCGGCAACCATGTGAATTCTTCTGTGCTTGATGTGATTTCCACTGATTACTACTAGTTTTTTGGTTTCTGGTTCCGTCGTACTCTTTGATTTCCAACTTTTTATGACAGATCGCTGGTGAGACATTGCTGTAGTCGGTGGTGTCTACAGTAACTTGCAATTTTAATCGGAAGAGGTACCTTCAGCACGAGCTACGTTCGATGATGTCACAAGCGATATTTATCATCGCTCTGTTGGTCTCAACCGGTGTACCTTCAGCACAAAGTAATGAGACTGATGATCCAACTGATGATCGTCATTCAGATTCGTCGGATCAAAGTGGCAATGGTAATGGCAATATCGAGGATACTATTACTAGCACCCTCGATTCAGT